TTTGTTCCCAGCTGTAGACGCTCAACAGAGTAATAACCTTGGAGGATCCTCGTCTACAGGCAGGAGTAGCCTCGCCGGATCTGTCTGCTGGGGCGAGAGAACGGCCTCGATATCTGGCTTTCTGGCTCGAAGTAACTCGGGCGGGAGGTTCTGAACGCAACCTTTTTTCTGTTCAGGCTGGAGCGAGCAAGGAACGGATAACGTGCACCCTCACCCCTGGCTTAGGCGAGCGGGAAAAGTATAAAGTGGAAGACGAAGGCGGAGGAGAAACAAACAATCTGAGGTGGAAAAAAGGTTAAAAGGTCGGAAGGCAAAGGGCAAGAAGAAGAAGGGGGAGAAAGTGAAAAGAGGGAAAAGGGAACGGGAGGAATAAAAGCCACAGCAGGATAAACGTAAACGTCTTTAAACCATCGAAGAAGGTAGGTCTGCAGAAAGACCCGCCGATGAGAAGCGGAGGAGGCACAGTGGAAGGTTGAATACAAGTATTATCCCTCACCGTCAGGATAAGGCTGTTGCTTTTCCCATGGATGGAAAAATTATAATTCGAACGGGAATGCAAGCAAATCCCCAAACTGTCGGGTTAGGAAAATCGACGACGGCACTCACCGTTGATTGGAGCAAGCACGGCTACCCGGGCTAGGATGGATGTGATGTTGTAGGACCAGTTGCAGTTGCATGTGAGGGGTGATATAGTCTGGAGTATAGACGACGACAGCGTCGTATTCCTTCGAAAAGGTTAAGCAGGATCAACTTAGTTCAGGTCCCCCCAAGGAGAGGAGGCGGACAGCCGAAAAGCCAAAGCCAAAACAGAATATGCCCCTCTCCTCGCTTTGCCTTCGGATTCCTGAGATAGGTTGTATAGTTCTTTCGGCACGGAAATGTTTCACAGCAGCGGAGTACAATTGCTGGCTAGTCAGAGAGAAAAAAAAGATGCGGTCCACCTTTTTCGGTTGTATTGAGATGTCCTATTATAGCAGGATCGGATCCAAGTGCCTTTGGATTGTTCCTGACTGCTGAAAATAGTAGTGCTGGTGATAAGGCAGGTACAGACAGCAGCAGGTACAGCGAATCAGCTTCAGTGGTCAATGCAAGTCGTTCGTTCGGGGTCCAGACAGTGAGGTCAAAAACGGCCTAACCCTCAAAAAAAGAATGTGTCGACCTCGACCGTAGGATTGCGACTAGCCGGAACCAAGAACTGTCCAAAGTCATCCGTCTACCTTGAGGCAAAATCAAAAATCAAAAGAAAAAAACCCGCAACCTGCTATTGAGAGCTCTTGTCGGAAAGCTAGGTAGATGATTCTAGCCGTTGAAAGTTGGAGAACATAGCAGGGGAGCCGACGGTAACTCCAACTCTGCCGTTGCAGGGACTGCCGCTTAGAAGATCGCTGGGGTTTATGCGGTCGACGTTAACAGGTCAGAAGCAAGTTGGATGGCGGTGCGCTGTCTTGAATCGATCCTAAGGATTTCACCGTCAACTTGTATCGGTCACTCGTCAGCAACATCCTTGGACTCCTTGTCTCGATAGGTTCCTGCTTTTTGTCTCTGCTTCGCATTTTCTTCCAGCCAGAGACACCTGCAAAATCCGGTTTATGTATCTGAGAAAAGTGTATGCTGTAGTGTGATAACACACACGTAAGGTACTTTTAGATGTCAGGTACCCGCATATCTCTGTTCATCAAGTACCTACAGCTGCAACTAGCAGAACATTACTAGCAAGGTCTCTCGAAAGCAAAGGTTTCGAATTTGAAATCAAAAACAGGTACCTTGAGGCTAGTAGCACCTGTCTTGTCAACCCAGCCGACGACATGCACGAGGAGAACTTTTCGAGATTCTCTTCGTCGTGATGATCAATTGCGTCCCTCTCAAGAAAAAAAAAAAATTCGCGGACGGCGGGAGACCCTGTCATTGACGTTAACAACCAGAACCCGCCTAAATGGCTGTTCTCAACAGAAGCCGGCCGGCCATCTGTTCTGAACAGGAAGCTAGCACAGTATATCTTTTCCGGTTCTCCTGTGTACTACTCGATCTGTGCTAGCCGATCCATCCCCTCCTTCAACTGGACGACCACTTGAACAACACGAGCAACCCTGTGGGCCTGCAACCCAAGTGATCTGGATATTCAATATCACGTTCCAGATTGATGTCCCGTATTGCAGCCGCCCACGATGTCGTTTTGTGGAGCCGTTTTCCTTTTTTTCTCGAAGGTTTCAGAAGGTCCCGTTGAGTGCATTGACATCCAAACATCCGTGCTTTCGAGCAACAAGCCTTCGTGAGCCGCCATATTCCAAAGGAGGACGGACGTTTTGACCTCTCCCAAGACAGGAGTTTACCGGTCTAGGGAAGAACAACATCGACAAACGGACCGATACCCATCTATCGAACATTGGGAATGATGATGCATCGAAGGCCAAATATAGAAACCGAATACAGCAAAGAAAGACAAGTCTTCAATTGTGAATTTCTTTTTAAATGCAAGCAAGCTCACAAGTTTTCGGAGCTGCCAGGGAAGCAGGAGGACCTCCTGTCTTCGTCTTGCATATACGAACAACCCTAAAGGGACCAACAATGGTCCTGTCTTCATCGTAAACATTCTTCAATTCCGTATCGATTGATCAATTGATCAAATGCATGCCCTTACCCCAGTCGGCCTCCGTACCCTGAGATGAAAAAAGGTGGTCTCCCCCTTCATGCAAGGTGATTGACTCCGCATATTTCTTTCTCTGCATCTGGGACCACCGTGCACATGCATAAAATCGCCCGGATGTGTTGTTCTCGAAGCATTCGTGCAGCAAGACGAAGGGCTCCAAGGTACAAGGAAGACGCCGAAAGGAATGCCTTTCTACGATCCAAAAAAGTTCGGAAGCCCATTTTCTAGCTTCTGTGAACGGTTCCACCACTGATACGCCGACAGATGTCGCTGAACTGGCGGCTCTCTTTTTCGATCTCATGGTGGTCGCCTGATCTTTTCAATCTCTTTTTGTATAAAAAAAGAGATTTCGTACTTCTGTATGCAGACCTCGGGGAATCCGTCTATATCTGTCCCTGACTTCACCAATTCGTCAGCAGATATGTTGGATGTTTTTCTTCTCTCTTTCTTGCTTTCGCACATTGCATAGCATGTGCATTAGTCGAGCATATGATCTCAGAAGCAACTGCGAGCAAAAGCAAAGGAGAAAAGAAGTTCCATATTCATCCGAGTATGGGGAATATTCAGACGAACCCGGGCTCGTATCTTTCTTGTGATAACAATGCCGCCATTCTGCTTACCAAATCCCTGTCCGCGAAAAAGGGATCTCTCAGGCAAGGGACGGCACATAGGAAAACGCTCGCAGGGTCTTCCTAGCGACACGATGGGGAAACTTGGATGGGTCTTCTGCGGCATATGACAGGGGTGGTCACGGCCGTGGCAATCCTTTAGCTGTGGCTTTGGGTCGAGAGGCGACAGCGGGCCTGTTTCCTGCCTGAACCAACGTTGGATTGCTTCAGGCTGAAAGGTGGCTTCTTGGGCTATAACGTAAGTGTAACAAGCTTTCTAGAGAATGTGGCTGCTGATAGGAAGTTGGTGGCAACGGTTGGTGGTTTCCTGATGTGATCTTTTGAAGCTTTTTGACGGCTGCAGGTTGCACAGCAGCGGACAAGACCAAGGTTATGGTCGCAACGCAGCATGTAACGCTGGACAGCAGAATACCACAAAGCCTGCAGTCTGGAATTCTCTAGGTCGAGACCTCCCCGCATTTCATATCCACGCACGAGTCGCTATTTGTTAGAAAATGGGGTAGCCTTGTCCTTGCAGGTCGGAATCACATGGTCTCTTACTTATCTTGAAACCTTTTCGCATCAAGATCTGTGCAGACGCCGAATATATTTGAATATCAACTGGATGTCAACTAACGGGTTGCATAACCCCTACATGACTATAGGCCCAGAACTAAATAGACATACGGACAATATAGCCAGCCAATTGACAATTTAAACCCACAAACGTTCTTTGGATTAGAAAATATGAGATATCTTTTCAAATCTTTTCCCCTCAAACATCCCACCTGACGTCATATCCAGTCCATACATCTCCCCTCAGGCACACCTCAGGCAGCCTTGACTCACCATGCCTGCACCTCGCCCTGAGCGAATCATCATTCCTCTTCAGTACATAGCTACAAATCCGAAGAACAGAATCCATAGGAAAGAAGGCCCCGTGGTGCAATTGACTAGGTAGCATCTCCTTATTCTTATTTATGGTTAAGTTGAAGGAAGATACAGGTTCAAGTCCTGTCGGGACCCGTACTTGCTTTCATTTTTTATATTTTTGGGTGCATGGAGTATGGCCTTTCAGCAGACGGCTAGTAGTTTGATACTACATAATTCAGGCCCGACCCTACGTCTCTAGACGCATGATGTCTAAGCTGCACATGCACACCATACATCCGCGGAGGTAGCGGGCGCAAGGTCCTGCAGTACTGCAGTGTATATTGGCGATCACACCCCAATGCTTAAGTTGTTAAGCTAAATAAGGAGGATACAGGTCCAAATCCTATCAGGGCCCGTACTCATTCCCTTTACATGCGTGGAGTTCTTCATAGTTTCTATAGCTCGAACCTAGCTGAAATTCAGCCTAGAGCATGCACATTCGAGACTATTGTTGTTTGTTTAACTCGTACAGATTAAATAGCATGCATTCGTGCGTATACTAATATTATAATACATTAAATATACAAAGGTCTTGTGGTGTAATTGGCTATCATACCCCTCATTGAGTGATTTCAAAGCAGAGGAAGATATAGGCTCAAATCCTATCAAGGCCCAACCTAACTTTTATTTTTTCTTTTACAGGCGTGGAGTTCGCATTAGTTTTTCCTCCTAGAAGCGAGTGCTATGGCAATTGTATTATAAGAATTCGGTAGTCTCGAATCTAGGCGCTCAAGGCTCCGAGGTCAGGCACCTAGGTCGGATTTCAGGCACATATATACCGCACATCCACTCAGATCTTACACGTAACAATAGGTCCCGTGGTGCAATTGACTAGCACACCCCGCTCCAATTTGCAGGGGAAATATAGGTTCAAGTCCTATCGGGGCCCTTACGCTCCATATTTTTTTGTCTCTCTCGAAGACTAGAATGGTACTAGAGCTATGGTACCGCGCCGTTGATTTGCCGCGATTGATTTTGGACGCTTGACCGCAAAATGCACGTGGCTGGACCCCTTTGGTAAATATATCGTTATTATTTTGTTAATAGTATATCTTAGGGATATATGAAATTCAGGTTCAGAAATAGTAACCAAGACAGCTTTCATAACCTGTCAAATTATAAACCCAGCTTTCCTACCACAAAGGCTAGGATTTAAACCTTAAAACTATCTATTTATTTAATTATTATTCTAGCTAAACTTAGTATTGTCTATGAATATGATTATTTTTAAAAATATTTGGATTATTAGCCACAATGTCGTGATAACTAGGCCCTATATTCGTATTATCGATAATTATCCAAACACCTGAACCTTCCTCTCAGGCAGGGGTATCAGGGATATATGGAGTTCAGATTCAGGAATAGTAACCAAGGCAGCCTTTTTGGTCTAACAGTATACCCACGACTGCTGGCCACGGCAAATAATAGAGCTAATTATGTAAATACCGCTTTTTTAAATCAGGTGAATGCAGACACCAGGCTACGACGGGAACTAATTAACCGCAAGGCTCGATTTTAGAGGTAGTATACCATTGACGTGACGGACAGAAAACGATACATAGAATGCACTGAGGTATATAGGTGTGGTAGATGAATGCTCGATTACATCGTATTGTGGGATTCTGAGTATACTAGTATTATTGATACCGTCTAACTGTCTCGATTAATGGCTATAGTAGCTACTGAAGTTGCTAGTAATCTCGAATCTATATAGGTGGCCCATAATCATTTGCAAGTCGGTAGCCCATTGCAAGAACGAATTGATACTATGTACTTGCTCGGCATCATATTGATACCTAAACGGTGAGAGTACTTTACTTTATATACCACCCCCCACCTTTGTCCATATAACTAGTGCACTGGCCCTGTGGTGGAACTTGTGGGAACATTGCCTGATGATTCACTTCGGTAGTCTCGGAGTAGCTACCCTGACTGAGAAGGAGGAGGGAGATGCGGGTTCAGCTCCCGTCCGAGGCCACTTTTTTGTTCCTCTTTTATATATCTTTTTTTTTTTTTTTTTTTTTGGGAGGGAGGGGGGTTTGAGGTATCATTTTGGCTGGATGCTCGGCGGTGATTGCATATAATTACTTGAGAGTACTGGTGGAGTAGTTCTGCGCCTGGCCTCGAGACTGCTTGAGAGTGCCGAGTGTAGACTCTAGTTGACCCTCAACACCCCCCTTCTGTAGTCTGCTCCTCTAACGACGGCTTCACCAGTCTCATGGTTGGGCTTCACTAATGAGCTATTAGTACTATTTATTATATACCCAACCAGTGTTTCGTATCTGTGAATTTCTAGTAGTGTAGTTGCCTCACAGTTACCACGAGTCTCGTATTTATATATGTCTGTATTTTAGACCCACATGTCTCTTTGCCATCCACGGTGCCCGTCTGTCGATCCATAAACCTTTGTGTAACGTACAATTCAAAATGCAACATCTTCTAACCACGGCGATCTCACGTCATCTTAAGATCTTCGGTTATGGGGGTATATATTGCCCGATACTTTATATACCCACAACTAACATCGCGTAGAATGGCTATAAATGTAAATGGCAAGAAGATATCGCACTACTAGGTCTTCCAATACTAAGGCTCTAGAAAGAGCATAAACTTGAGGGTAAACTTTTAATCGTGATCAAGAAGGACATTGACAGCCTCATTAAACCTAGATGAAAGTATCCCTAACCAATCAATAAAGAGGTCTCCTATCTTAACACCCCATCATCCCCTCTACTCCACACCTATAGCTATCATCCAAGATCTACTCATCCTTCTTCGAGCTCTTAGCAGCCGAAAACCCCATTCCATACTTATAAACCAAATCCGCCCCAAGACTCGCCGCAAACAACATCACCGGCAACACCACCCCAGCCACTCCAACTTCATTAACCCCAGGCTCCGAAGCTCCCAAAATCCCATGAGCTTTATATCTACTCCACCAACTAACACCGCTGACAATAATAGAAATATCATTCAATGCAGCGTGGGTAGCCATCACGTAGAACTTCTTTTTGATAGTTTTGCCATCTGCCTCGTAGAGATTCCCGGGCTTTGCCGCCTGAGCGGCTGCTTGGGCGATTCCGGTTAGGATTGCTGGGATTGCTGAGAAGATGCCGAGAGTGTGGAGGAGACGGGAGGTGGAGAGTAGTTGAGGGAAGAAGGGGGTTAGAGTGGAGAGGATTGGGAGGGAGAAGTTGGTGGTGAGGTAGTGGAGGATGTCGATTGTGTGAGAGAAAGTGAGGAAGGCGATTGGGAAGTGGACGATGGCTGGATGGACTGGGTGGCTGTTTGTATTGATATATTGTTAGTGAATAGGTACCTATGTCGTCATATATCAAAGAAGCAATGATAGGTACCTCTTGAAGAACATTTTGATAGTATTTTATAGCTGGTAAGCTCGAGTGTATTGATATTATATCTTGGATTGCTGCGACCTGATAGAAGGGAATTGGATTCTCTAATCAATCGATACAGGATTCGAAAGAAAGAAAGGAAGAGGTATTTGTACGTCAGTCGGTATATGGTCGGTATCACGTTGAAGGTCAGACCGTAGGAGGTGTTACAATGACCGCGGTTTATTTTTCTTGTTGGTGTGTGGAGAACTCTCACCTCAAGCTTGTGTGTGGTGTGTGGGCATATGGAATCAATGCGATTGGCTGCCATTCCCCAACGACCCAAACCGGGAAGGAACGTGAACGGCGAAGCCTCGACGGACGGATTCCGGTGGCCGTGATCTCCGTGATCGATCAGATAAGATGTTGTGTTGTTGCATTTCGAGATGTCACGTGAATAGTTCTTGGCATATCTCCCATAGCAACGCATGATATCAAACAAATACACAAAACACCACACGTCGACATAGTAGATGGTACCTTTTTATTCGAACGAGTTATGTACTTTGTGTACGTGGAGACGGATTGATAGATATTACCCCACACGATAAGAAGTCTATGAAGCTCTTGAATATAAGCTCCTCCGCCCACAGGAGTGGCGCCCGAACAATTCATGGAGCCCAATGCTGCTGCACACTCCAGCTCGACGACAGCATTGTTCGATCGTATCTCGGCTTGGATCGCATCTACAGAAACCGACAAAGACCCACCCGCAGAATTCGAAGCGGAGATCCCCATATCGCCGACAATTAAGCAGGAATATTCCAGGAAACGAGCATTTTCCGACATATCAGACGCCGGTGATGGCAGGTTAACTGAGCAAAAGCGGAAGCACATCCGTACAATCCATCCTGCCCCGCGATCAGCTCTAGGATTCATAGCGGATTTCGAAGATGCGGGTCCTTCAGATAGTGTATCGCAGATAGACGCCGACGTTTCCGTACATTCAGCAACAGACATTCGCAACCTCTCAATTGAATCGTCAATCACATCTCCAGGAGATGACAGTCCCACGAAGGTGTCACTTTCCAGCGGTATAACTCCTTCAGTAGCTACAACGAGTCCAAAATCTAAAAGGAGATTGTTGGAGACAAGCACCCCGAACTTCAGATTTCTTGGAGTATCAGGCCGTGCAGGCCTCACTGCCTGGGATGATATCAACGACTGGGTTCCTATGAGCATCCGGAAATTAGCCCAAGGGTTTTCTAGATCGACGTCGCCTCGTGGAATGATTTGTAGCTGCGTAAAGGTGGGTTTTTGCCGATAAAACCCTACTTCTGAGCTTTGCTCTAACTTTAATAGGACATAATCATTAATTACGACCCAATGCTACTCTGGGACGACATTACATTTTCGGACATGAGTGATAGTAAAGACCATGAACGACATCTTAGAGAAGCCGAGTTTATTCTTGAATGGGTGCAGATATCGAACGATATGCACGTGCATGCAGCGGAGGAATCCGACTGGGTGCGCCATTCAAAATATGTTCTGAGTTCAGTGATCACTGTGAATGGTGACATATACCCTCTACATACCGTAGGAGTGTAAGTGACTCCGAGATTCCTGGTTCTACGTGCACCTTGTGTGCTGATATTTCTATCTTAAAGCCAATCCGTCGACCTTGTACGAGAGTTCTGTCCAAGAACAAGACGTCGCGCGCAGAGCCAACCTACTTCTCCCTGTAAGAACCAGGAGGGGCGGTTAGGAACCGTGACGTCCATAAACCCGCCATCGCGGGTAACAGAGGGCGTTATAACTGCCAGAGCAGATCTTACCGTCCTCCTTCGAGATTGCGGGCGCACAAGTTCTCTATTCCAAGCTCTAGACGATAAATTTGGACTAGAAGCTTATATTCCGCCGTTCGAGAACTTCGTAGAACCACCGGTTTTTATGCTCGACGTTAAGTCCTTAGACGGTAGTTGTTTAGAAGCTGAGAACCAAACCGCTATTTGCGCGAATGCAATACTGGAGTCGTGGCGGTGTTTGGGAAAGATATCTGCTTATAACTCCGCCCCGCTGCCTCGCTATCTTGACGCTCCTACCGGGTCTGCACAAAATCTAGGACCCATGACAAACCCCCTCGAATATCCAACCGTCGAACAGCAAATCCCCACCGACCCAAATAACCCCTCAGCCTCTGGGACTACTTCAATCCAAATAGGCGTCGACCATGTCATAGCTGTCCAAGTAGCCTCATACAGCTGGTCTTATACCATCGTTTTTGCGACTCCAAGTAGCGAGGACGACGCAAAAGTTCAAGCTAGAAGAGGTTATTCCCGACGAGTGTTTGGACCGCATCCTATCGGTGATAGTAGAACCGTAGAAGGGGCGTATAGGATATGTAGGTTTTTACATCAGCTTTTTGTGTATAAGACGCGGGTATGGCTTCCTGGGATTATTCAGCGGGATCCGATGCCGATGCTTGATGAGTTTTCGGTTTCGTAAAGCGGTATTGAAGCGGAGTTGGCGTTTTATATAATTATTCTAGGTGTTT